ATCGATTCTCCATTTGCGGAACCAATCGCCGAGGCGGTCGGCGGCGCTTTGGAGTCGAGTCGTTAATTGACTGAGGTTGCGATCTGAGTAAAAGAGCGCCGTGTCATCCGCAAAAAGTGCGAGATTGACGTGGGGGTCTCTAGGTATGTCGCTCGTGTAGAGCGTAAATAACAAGGGTGAGAGGCAGGAGCCTTGTGGTACGCTGGCCGTGAGGCGGCGGCTTGTGGAGAGGGTGCCCTCGACTCGATATCGAAAAGAGCGGTTCAACAAAAAGGCCCGGATGGTGTGTACGAGCCTATCTGGCACTTTGTGTGTACAGCTTGTAAAGCAAGACGTTGTGCCAGACTTTGTCGAATGCTTTTGCGACGTTGAAGAAGAGAGCCCCTGTACTAATGTGTTTGGGGTGGTTAAAGCCTTTTAGGATGTGCTCCGTTAGGCGGTATAACTGATCGGGACAAGAGTGTCTAGCTCGAAAGCCGAATTGTTCCGCCGGCAGAAGGCCGTTGGAAAACACGTGCTCTTTGAGCCTGTTTAACAAAAGCCGCTCGTAGAGCTTCCCCAGGCAACTGAGGAGGCTGATGGGACGATAGCTAGAGGGCTGGTTGGCTGGTTTACTCGATATATTATGTAAAAATGTGCAGTGTTTTTATTGTATTTGTGATCTAAGATCCGGGATGCATATTCCCATTGTGTGCAAAAACAAGCGTTTTACGCGCGCCCAACGAGACAAGACCAGAAAGGTCTTTTGGTGAAAACCAGCTTGTAAATATATGTAATGTAAATAATAAAAAAAAAGTGTGTGCGTGTAACCCTTACGCGCGATTGAAGTAAAACTTCTTTGGAAATGATTAAATATTTATTAACGTCATAGGTATATGTTATATTTTAAAAATATGACATATACTTATGACGTTACTTCCGTAAGAAAAAATCTGAGTTACTCCCTAGTCGCGCCTAAAGAAGTTTTACTTCAAAAATAAAAAAATAGGGTTGTAAATGAAGTGAGTTGATTTTTCGTTTTTAAATATTATTAACATACTTTCAATTATTGTTGTTTAGTTGTGATTTAGAATTTTTTAGAATATTCTTTACCGTTAGTTGGTATTTTATAGTTTTCTTCAAAGCACTAATGTTATTCATGAAAGCATACTGATATAGAAACCCATCTACTCGTGGTGACATGTCACGTAGCTATATCAGGTCGTGAATAGAGTCGCGTGAAGGCTCATTAGTCTGTGGATCAGGTGAAGCATGCTAATGTAGGATGTTAATTAGCATGCTAAGGTAGGAAGTAATCACCTTAGGCTGTAGAGTAGGATATATTTGCTTAAAAAGTTACTATACTGGGCAGCAAAAATAACGTTTTACTAAAAAAAAACTGTGATAGTTCCTTAAATATCTAAAATTGATTAATGAACAGTACATTAATGTTTTACACACAATTTAAACTTGTGATAAAAAAAAATACATATCACAGTTTATTTCATTATTAAATAAAATACAATTGTTCTTTTAATTTTTTCTATTTCCTCCTACTTTATAATTCACTAGCTGACTCGGCAAACGTTGTTTTGCCATATAAATTATTTCTAGGGAATTTGGAAGTGTTTGACAGACATAGTTGACAGGTTGACAGGTACAGTTTGTATGAGAAGATTAAATTGTTGTTATTTCGATTTTCTATGCAATTTTTCCATAATTTCTTGTCGTTTAAACCTTGCCTGGTCTGCCACAAATATTTCAAAACCAAAATTAGCCAAATCGGTCCACCCGTTCTCGAGTTTTAGCGAGAATAACGAACAGCAATCCATTTTTATATATAAGAAGATTAAGGCGCGGCGATGGGGTACGATGTTACCAAATTTAAAAAATATGATCGTTCCTACACTAACGCATTCTTCAACGCCTGTAAGGTAGCTAAAAATAATCATGAAAAATTGAATTAGTTTTCAAAATTCATAAATTGATTTTGCGAGCTACAACTGAATCGTATTTTAGATTTATAATAAGCATTGCTATATTCAAGTTGGTTGTTGGTGCACTTTCTAAGCTTTTTCTTAAGCCGGGTTTCGTAGGTTCGATTCCCACATGGGACAAAAATTTGTGTTCCGGTTCTGGGTGTTTGTTCCCAAGGCTGGCGGCCGGTCGTAAAAATTTTAGCCCTTACTATTCACATGATAAGTGCAGGATAAAGAAGATATACAGAAACTGAATACCTTAAGCTATTTTATGTCGTTTCATAGACGATCTGAATCAAAATTCACACATTCTAATATTACTTGAAAATAACAAAAATGCAATGAAAGTATCACGAAAATTTTTAATTAAATAAAGTTTATAAATGTTTTCTTTTTCTCCTGTTCTTAGAGATGACAGCTGAAAGGTCGTGAAAAAGAGAAATATGGGACCCGGTTGAAATGGGAAAATATGAACTAATTTGAGAGAAGTTAAAGCTCAAACTTCCTAAATAACTGGCATAAATTTTTATTAATCTAAAAGTAAAACTGGGTTACGGAAAGCAATCGATTTTTTTTTTTGTTGAAATTACTCGTGGGAAAGTTTTCTCTTTTATAGCGCTGCCCGTTTACGGAGATGTGAAAGTTTGATTATTTTACTCCCGCTAAAAATGGGGTTTCACGTCTAAACTATGGATTGTGCACTAGAAATACGCGGGCTTATGGCACGTTGACTTGAAAATTGTTATTTGTTATCTTTTTTAAAATCTGTTTAAACTTGTTTATTAACGTTTATCAGCATTGGTGATTTCAAAGATCTAGCTTAATCTAAGTCTATTGTCTATCGTCTTTCGAAATAATATGTTTCTATTCTTAAAATATTATGTAGAAAAAGTGCGAAAAGATTGTCGCCGTCTATTATAGAGTATAGAGCATTTCGCCTGGTGAGCAAGGTACTGGACGCACACTCGAAGATTGGCAACGTGACGCCTTTGTTATTGTGGATGTTCGATTAGTGTTGACGTGTTTTTAAAAATAATATCACTATATTTCACTATCACAATGTTCAGTACTACGTACGAGTACATAACTTTATACGATTCTTGTGTCCCCCAGTAGAACTTTGTATCACGGGTACAACGTGGATTAATCTGTTGCGAGATATTTATGGTTGTTTTTAGATAACGTAAATACGTGAAGGTGCGCTGACACTAACTAGTTTAGTCAGGGCTTTCACGGAGTTAGTGGAACTTTTAATAGCGTTCGTGAGCCGCGAGCCGCCGAGGGACGCCGAGTAGAATTGCATCGATTGTGTATCGGTTATCTCGCAATTTTATAACTCTGGCGGTACAAACTCGCTGATTGACTAATGCTAGTTTTGTTAGACTATAGCAGAGAACGAAGTTACTAAGTTACATTTTTACTTACTAAAAATAACAATAGCATTCATTTAGAAGAATTAATTTTAAGGGATCAAACTGTCGTTTATGCAATGTTAAAACTATATCATTACTTGTCTTAAGATATTTTTTACCTTTGAGTGTTATTAAAAATCGAATTGTTAACATACGTACACAAATAAACTGGAACTAGTATAGCAACATTAGAGATTTTTTTATTTAATTTTGATTGTGTAAGCTTGAGCTTGCACGGAAAGGTAATAATTCGGTAGTGACTTTTTTAGCGATCGTAGTGTGGGTTGACTTGACCCCCACTACATGGGGGGATGACCGACGAACAACTTCAACATACAGACCCCATACGACAAGTCGAAGCATGCAGGTGGCTCAAGATCATGCTCCGCGGCAGTCTGTGGAGCTTGAATCCAGAAGCTGACAAATACAGGCTGAAATGATGATGATGTTGTTTATAATCTATATTAGCTAAATGTTTAAAGGCTTTAAATGCAATTGTATACAAGCTATTATTTAAATTTTAATCAATTTGCAATTTAATTTATTGAATATTCTATTGTAAAGGGAGATTTTGATATGTACTTAAAGTAGTCTGTGTAATATCACTAGTGTACATATCATGTCATATAACAATATCATGGAAGCATAGAAGAAGGAACACTTAAAGTTATACAATCGCGATAAAAATGCTATGGCTTCAGGTTTAAATTGGAATACTTCAGAGAGGTATTCTTTTTGTTACGTGTTTTTCCCCAATTTATGTAAATATCACCTACTTACGAGTAACACGCATAGTCACACTAACACCAAGAACAAGTTTATTTATTTATTTATTTTACACAAAACACAATATGGAAAAAAAAAAGGTGAGGCTATATACAAAATGTAAGCCTAACTCAATACATTAATTCTCAAAACGTATCAAACATAGAACAACAACAAAACAATGTATATTATACATTTATTTATAATGTACATTAATATATAGTTAGTTGAAGTTAGTCCGTAGTTGTATAGAATTTAATGCCCTCAAATGACAGTCGATTTCCACAATAAAGCCTGCCACTGAGTCACTTATTGTTTCATTCACCCGTCTCAGTTTAACTTCCCGTCACTGCTGTCGGTATATTCCAGACAAGCCGAATTAAGAACAATGTGGCGCCGGGACTGAATGTTTCCGCGAGCTGCCACTTTGAACTGCTCGAAAAAAATGTAGAGTCTAATTCGCTATTATTTACCGGACGGTCTTGAAAATGAAACAATGGTCAAAGTAACAGTTATAAGTAACTGTGGCTTTTAAAAAACAATTTTATTTGACTTCAGCTGAATCTGACTGACGGTTCTTTATTTTTCAAATTATACAAAAATGGAAACTTAAGTTGTTTCTTCAAATCAGATAAGATTGGACGTTTTATTACGGGATTAAAAGAGTAAACTGAAGGCAAATGTTAAATATACATTTTTGTATCTTTAATGTAAATACAAATTATATAAAAACTTTTAAGAGGTACGTGAAAGGAAAGTAAACTTATAAGTGTTTACTTAAAATCAATGCTTTATGTATCATGATTAATAGTACCTTGTTCTGTATGAAAAGCATTTATTGCAATCTCAAAACTAATGATTTTTACGAAACTCCAATGTCGGCCGTTGCGTATACCATTCTCATGGTGTTGGTGAATTCGGAGCCCTGTTTCCAGCTGCACACTAAAATGAGAGGGTCGCCCACTCTAACGAAGCCCCTTTGCATTGCCCATTTGGTGCAGAAGTTTATACGCTGCTCAAGATCAGTTTCCCAATCTGCTTCGGGTGTTGCTGTAATATAGGTAGGATGAATTTGATGACTGCGTGGCGCAGTTGCCACGGTATTGGCTTCGGCGCCGGAGGTCGATTCCCACACGGGACAACTATTTGTGAGACCCACATATAATTGTTTCGGGTTTGTACACGTGAAATCTATGTATTTAAAATGTCAGAAAGAGAGCCTATAACAGAATGTTGTTCCGTGTCGTGGATCTCTATCAGGGTCATTGCACATATATTAATAAGAATCATAGAAAGAGTGGAACCTTTCCTTATGTATTATATGTGTAAGCATATATTGCATAAGTAATTAGGGTCAGGATCATAAGACTCTGGAATTGGGAAAGGTCAGTACTTAAAGCGTATAAAGGGTAACTGTCTTAATGCGATTTATAGATTGAATGTCTGAACACTACAATAAAATATTGAACAATAGGACTTTGTTGCGATAAAAGCCTGTTGAAATCTAAGATTTTTAATTTTTTTTATTAAAAAAAAATTATTCGTATTGACTGGCTCTCTGCGTCAGCTAATATACGTTTAGATTATTGAAATCAGTGTCTTTATTGTTTTTTTTTCCAAAGTTGAAAAGATAAGAGTATCGATAAATACCTTCATAAATTAACGGCATAATCCCTCGATATAAATGCATCTGCCGCGCAACGATCACGTATCTCGTGACGGCGATTATCGGACAGCGAGGTCTGTACTTGGCGACGAGAAATGCCGCTTTGCCTGTTGCCGTGACCACTATGATAGCGGCGGCGATCGACTGGTAGGCCGCCAGGACTGCGGACACCGCTATGGCCGTTGCCTGATCACACGGCACCGGGGTCTGAACAAAGTAACATTAAAATTTTCGGAGCCGTGATAGCTCAGCTTTGCGCTCACTTTAAATTCAATATACGCGAGAAACCTGAGTTCAAATACCGATGCTGTCACTATTGTAATTGTATCCAAATTAATATTTCCAAACAATGATGTTTTAATAAAGATGACGTATGACTGTATTGCGCGGCGTTTGAAAGTGTTTAATAATGTGCGACACGCAATGTTAGATAATTATCTTTTATACATTCACTGGCCGAACCAATAGATGTCGTCATGTAAACACGATTGAAATCCGAAAACTTATAAATTAAAAAAAAATATATATGTCGACCGAATTGTGAATTTAAACCATTCTCGAATTGACGTGATGATCGAAATTTCATTAAAATCGGTCCAACCGTTTAGGAGAAGTTTAGTGACATACACACGTACAGAAGAATTATATATATATATAAAGAAGATTTACTTCTAATTTTGGCAGTTAAAGCTTACCTTTTCGACATAGTCATGGAACATTCTCATGGTCCAAACAGAGTCCTCTGCCTCTTTACTCGCACTTGCCATGCATTTTATCGTTTGCACAGGACTGATTCCAATGGCGGTTTCCGCCGACAGTACTAAGGCATCAGCTCCATCGAATATGCAATCCGCTATGTCAAGTAGCTCCGATCTGAGTGGGATCTTGCTGTGTCTCATGCTGCTCAGAAGGTGAGCGCATAAACAAACCGGCACATTAGCCTTTAATAATAACGGGGTATTGAAAGATCTTACAATCTTATATAGTGCAGTTGCTATTCAGGCATGTCATTAACATTGATAGGAAACTTTGTATTTTAGCCACAGCAACATCTAAATGATGCTTGGCGTCAGTTTAATAAAATCGTTTGATTTTTTGGTAGTTGTGGATGCCTTAACGTCCGGGTAGCGACTTACCATGTGATAAACTACTTGCTAGTTTTCTATATACCCTTGTCCCCTTGTATATACCCTTAGTACGTTAGCTGCGTAGGTTTTAACATCATCATTTTTAAACGCATGAGTCTCTCCTTTTTGTTTCAAATCAACAACAAGGGAGAAAGGACTCAATCGTTTCAGATCAAGACTCATTTTCAAGTTACCTTACGTAGAATAGTACGTAAGCAATACATCTGTTAATTTCTCTTTCATGCCTATTCATGTAAAGTTGTAAAAGTTATGAACTAAACTGTGCAACATATTCAAAAACTAAATAGTTTATGCCTTCACCTCATTTGCGCGTGCAATCATATCTTTTTGAGCTATAACAAGCTTTGTTGGTGAAATGTCTGAACCCAATTCTTGTCTTGTTATCATAATTCCATTGGCCACCTGAACATAAGAGAGGTGTATAATGTACTCAGCATGATATATTCTAGTATATACATACATACTCATATATATTTTAGTAGTAATATTTTTAAACCTCAAGGATTTCATTAAAATTTTTGTAACCTTGTTCAGTCTGTATATTAGCGATAACTGCGATATTTTTTCCTTTATCATCCATTGATTTTTTTAATTCAAGAATGGAGTCCGCCGAATTTGTAAATGATGATATCAGAATATCTAGCTGAAAGTTTAAAAAAAATCATAGTTTTGTAATAATCATGAATTATCTGTCCCACTAGGTCTTCAATCATATCCCACCTGATGCTGTACGGCCATTTCGACAAATGCTAAGTCTTTTCTCGAATAATTCGCAATATTCGTCCATACGCTTGGAAAAAAGACATCCTTATTAGATCCAAGCAAGCCACCTCTTTCGATTTTACAAGTCAGGGTAGCGTTCGATTTAATTTCAATTTTTAGTTGAATAGTTTCCTTGTCCAACAGAATGATGTCGCCTTTTTTTAACTGTTCATTAAATCGCAAGAAATCAATGTAAATAATGCTATTCGTACACTTGTTTTTGTAGCTCACGTCTGCTGTTAAGCTAAGTATTTCACCGGTGTTCAGTTTGACGGGTTCTTTGTGGGTCTGAAAGGTATAAATGCAAACTTAGTCACTAATCGAATTCGGTACGCCTATATAGAATTCAAAGACTAATTTATTGCATCGTCACTTCATTTCATTTCTATTTTAACGGTTGCCTACTGATCAGCGAAAACGGAAACCTTATAGGAGCACTTTGCAGGTCGTCGGTCTGTCTGTCCTTCTGAACAGATCAAATGTATGCAAATTAGTAGTTCCGTGCTAGTCACCAGATTGTAAAATAACGGTGTGGGAAGAATTAAATTCAAGCATTAATCGATGAAAGAAATTTAATTTTGAATCAAAATTCTATGATGTGATTATATAATATGTGAAAATATTTCAATTAAAGATAGGTACTTAATATGTGAATTTTTAGAAACATTGCCGAACAATTTTACAACGCAAAATTCGTCTCGTCTCGTCTTGAGTGCAGAAATAAGCGTTAAAAATAATCGTAAACTGTGATTTTTATAAAAATCGACAACGGCTTCTATAGTATATTAATTTCGGAAGATTCGGAAGATTTGCGAAAGCCATTTTTGAAAATGCAAGTACGATGTGCAATGTTTAAGTTACGCATTCTTACATCAGAAATGCATCCGGTTCTTATCTTCCGTCCAGGTAAACGTGCCGCAATCGCCAAAGGAAAGTGCTTTCCTACAGTGACACTATATTCCTTTGCGGCCTTTCGCAACATCTTGATGGTCTCAACGTGTTCTTTCTGTGTGCCGAAGGACAAATTGAGTAGAGCGACGTTCATGCCAGCCGCCATCATTTTTTGCATAGTCTCGATGTCATTACTAGATTTTCCTGTATGGGTTTTAAATTACAATATGTAGAAGTCTTTTGATTGATTTCACATGAAATAATAAAAGAAACAAAACAGTTACAAGTATTACGTCGACTATACCAATACGACTTGGGGGTTGCCGATCGATATTAGAGTTGCATATAATTATTTTAAAGCATTGCTATTTGCCACGTAAAATTGTAAAAAGTATGTTTGGATTGGAATATAGTTAGATTAGAGAGATAGATTACAGCTAAATTATTTTAATGTATGTATTATTTACATAATTAATTAAAGTTCTCATGTTACGTCTTCGAGGTAGGAAATAAAAACTATTTTATTTTATGTAGTGTTGATGTATATAAAAGAAATACTTTACATTGTACTAAAGGGCAAGCTTTACAACAAAGAAACTAAATGACATTTCTTATTTCTAACAATGACTAAAAATTTGTTTTACATAAAACCATGAAAATCTATTAATATTTAGGGTATTTTTTACTTTAATTTTTTTAATATCGATATAATATACATCATTCAATATTTTACTATATTTTTAACTAACAAAACATCATCCTCAAACGCACATAAATCAAAATTAAACAGGGTGTGAAAACGATAGAATGAATGTAATGCAAAATAATTAGTAATAATGTAACTAAAGTGTCAAAATAAAGAAGTTAAAGGGAGTACAGAAAGAGTTGTGTAAGCTTTTGCGAGTAAAAGGAGTAGAAAAAGGAGTAGTGAAAGCTTTTGCGCTTTACCTATTGTGGCGATAATCCCCGTGAGGCGTTGACATCCTGGTGGCAATTGAATGCCTAAATTCAACACGTGGTCCAGTGGACTATGTGCGTGGGCGGCGGGCAGTTGTTGTCCGGGTAATTCCCTCGCGTCATACTGTATGATGTGAAATATATGTAAGCAAGTTGTTATAGAGACTTGACGCCGAAGCCAATGCCTTGGCAAACTTGTGTCGGTAACAGACATCTGTGAAAATTCATCAGCCTGCTGAGACACGGACAGAGGAGTCTTAGTAATAGGGTCCCGTTTTACTCTTTGGGTACGGAACCCTAAAACAATAAGGAAATTAAAATCTCTAAAACAGAAATATTTCATAAAATTTGTAATCGATTTTGGATATCGATATGAGTGTCCGCAATAATAACATTTTGGCTGTATTATATTAAATATTGTCACTGCTTAACCAATTTTTACGAGCTTTGTATTTTTGTATTGAAGTCAATCTCCATAGTGAAAAAAACATGTTTGAAATACTTTTGCTATGAAAAGTAAGTCTTTCCGACACATATTCGCCTATTCGCCCCTTATTTATCTCGATTGTGATGTATCTAAATCGATTAAAGTATTTGGAAGTAAATAAATTTCTTCGTAACAATGTAAATAATTCCAAGCAGTTTTGTATTCACACGAATACCACACGTCAAGTGTTACTCTTTTGCCATTAGTTTAATTATAATTCCTACGTTATTTTCTCGATGCAAAGGCATTTGCTGTCCTCTCATCTTTATGGAAAATATTATAACGATAAATAAAATAATCATCTTTAACTTACTTCCACAAGCTTAGTATCGTATTCGGTTGGCCAAACCATAACACCGAAATAAATTATAGCATTTTATATTTGAAAACTTGCGACAAAGAGAATGTAATCACTACGTTGAATTGCGATTAAAGTAGAAGTGGAATTAACTGGTGTTTGCATTTACTTGTCAAACTTGAATACTTTTTTGATGGAGACATTTACAACCTCTTTAAAATAATTAAATGATATAAATGTTTTCATTATTATAATTATTATAAAAATTAAAAATAAATAGAATTTATGAATTTGGGAAAAATAGTATTCGATAAAATAAATATATTCCTAATACATATAATACGACAAATCGCCTTGTTCGCCGACACTTGTCTGAACCCTTACTATGAATTCTGTTTAATATTTTAATACTTTGTCTTGGTCAATCAATGGTCATATCAGTGCCTAAGCTAGCCCGTATCTGCTGGTAGGTCACTTTCTTATCATGTGCCGTACAGCACTGATGTTGTTTTTTTTAGTTTTTTTTTGAACATTTACCTTACTTTTGGATATCCCGGGATGTGGCTTCACTATTTAATGCCAATTAAACTCTGTCATGGCTTTGTTGTTGAGTAAAATAACAAGCATTGCTCAAATGTTAAATAACAATTTAGAAAGAAGGCGTTAAGATTTTCGTCGCTGTGGCTATCAGCCGTTTAGCTCAGTGCCTAGAGCGTCAGGCCGCGAATGCCGAAGACGTGGGTTCGATTCCCACGGCGGCGACAATCTTTTCGTACTTTTTCCACATGTTTTTTGAACTTTTCATTGGCAATGTTTCTAACTGGCCGGTTCTAAAAACGTTCAGTGTTATCCTAGTATGAGACTGTTTTACTTTGCTATGAAATGCAGCACTCGCATACTAAATGCAAAGTTGTGTGCTCGATTAATAAATAGCCTCAGTCATTTAATATGAGACTTTCTACTTTCTTTAAGATTAACGCATGTCGCCTTCTGATGTTGTACTACTTTGCACTAATGAACAATAGCAATTTTAAACAAAAAGTAAACTTGACATTTTTGACTGATATAATTTTCAAAATATTTATACATACTGATAAATATCTACAAGAAACGCAAAATACAATGAAATAGAGTTTACATTAACAAATAGAATAGAAAAAAAACGTTACCTACCCTGTGAAGATAAGCCAATTAACTCAGTGGTTAGAACGTCGGGCGCATGACGAAGAATTCGTCAATTTTTCTACAAATTTTTTGAAATTTTATCTTGAATGTGTAATTGGTTTTTAATAAAAACTGTTTCTTTAAAACATACTCTCGAATGTTTTTATGAATTCTGCTAATTTTCGTTCAGGTTACGAACTTTTTGGCATTGACATTTAAAATTCAGCGTTCGGAAAAGCTTATCGGGCATGCAAGTGACGAAATGGCATCACCGTTCGACGTCAAAGGGGTTTCCCGTTTGATTTTAGAAAGGACAATTTGCTGGCGCTCTGAAGTTCAAATTGAATTTATAAACCTTGGACTTTGCATTCAGTCCGCTCTGGCGGGAAGGTTTGGAACGTTTGGTAGACTGTTTATTTTAGAAAAGTGCGGTACATTCTAGAAGTACCTTTTGACCGTTGCTATGTCCGTGTGACTTTATTCAAAAACCGGCCAAGTTCGAGTTGCACTCGCGCACGAATGGTTCGCTATCGCTCTATAAAAAGGGCAAAAAAAATAATTTCTGTTGTATGGGAGCCCCACTTAATTTTTTGTATTCTATTATTTAGTAGTTGTTGTTATAGCGGCAAAATAAATAAATACATCATCTGTGAAAATTTTAACTGAGTAACTGAATCGTGAGGTTCTTGAGATACAGCCTGGTAACAGGCAGACAGACAGTCAGACAGCGGAATCTTAGTTTAAGTATTCTGTTTTATTCTTTGGCACGTGGACCCTCAATCATAAAAAAATGTGATTTCCTTTTTACGGAATAAAGTATATTATATCGTAATTTGTTGTGTTAGTCTGCATTCTACACTGAAACTTGAATGTCGGTTTAATGGTAAAAAAGTATAGTAAAGTATCCTATATATTTCCCATTGCTGGGCAAGGGTCTTCTCAGTACAAAGGGTATTAGCGTATAGTCCACTACGCGACCCCACCGCGCGTTGGCGGATTTCATACATCTTGGAAATATTTTATTGATTACTTTGCTTAGCGGTTAAAGTGTCTGGACGCAAACCCGGAAGACATAAGTTGGATTCCTGCAGCTCCGACAAACTTTTCATCCATTTTTTTTCTACAAATTTTAATATTTAAACTTATTTTCAAACCTTTATTTAGTAAAAAATATAAACTTTATAGGTATTTAAACACCGAGATACTGGAAAAATATTATGTTGATCACACTTTACATTCCCAATAGTGTTACTTTTCCAGTAGTGGGGATCAAACCCACACCATCTGGCGCTAGAGAACGGTTCACCATCCACTACGCCGATCTTATACTTGTATTTCTAAATTCTCCTGTAAAGTTGTTCATTTGACATGTTTTGAAGTCGGTAAAATTGTAATAGGTAGATAAGCATCCACCTATTACAATTGTACCGACTCCCGAAAGTTAGCATTTGTGTAGTCCATCAGGGTAAAAGTTGTAAGAGGTTTTTTATTTGTGTTTACGAACAAAAAAAGAATTAAATCATTTAAATTTTAATAAAACATTGTTTTATATTCTTAGTGTTAATTTATAACAGTTAATTCCATGTAATATTTGTAGACAAACTGATCATTTTAAGGAAAAAAAAGTGTTTTAATTTTTTTTCTGAACTGTTTATAATAATTTGACTCCAAAGTGAATTTTGAACCAGAATTGCAACTCATCCTTGGAGTTTCAACGCGACGCAGATAGCTTTTGGCATCCACTAGCAAGCGACACACGGATTTTGTGGTTGACGAACAAGTTTTCATTAAGATTAAGTAATGAATAAATATATCAAGAAATACTTTATGTAGGTTATCTACTTACTAGCAAAGTTTGTACCATGGGTTAACTGATCAACACAGTTAAACATACCTTTCCATGATAAATAAACACATTTTAAGAGATAAGCACCAGGACTCTATTGTTTGAACAAGTTATTATGCGTTCACACATTACGGAAATGAACATAATTCATAGGTTCGTTGCAGTTTTGATATATTTAGTGCAACAGAAATGGGATATTTTTAGACTAGTATATGCATTTTTCGCGCACGAATATCCGAAACCATCCAATTTAAAATAAAAAGTTTAATAATTTGTTCTTTATGGTTGGATCCAGTTTTGAACCTATACTAACTATAGTTTTGCACCCGAAAGGTTCTTGAGATCAAAAAAGGTCAACCTATTTAACTTTTCATGATATATATCTTTTAATATAAACAATATATAAAATAATTTAAGCGGTGAACTCTTTCAGCAAAAAGTATTAACACAAAGGCAACAAACAGATCGACCCGTGCTGTACTAATAAAACCAGCAAGTCATCGTATGGCCTGTTCGGGTGTCCTAGCAAGGAGAGGTGGTCTGAGAAGGCCATAGTCACGCCAGGGTCGCGGAAGATTGTGTCTTTGTTGGCAAAGTGGGTATTTCAATGGGTGCTAGTTCTGGCCGGGTCTATATATGTCTGCCGCTCTGGTGGCAGGGCATAAGATCATGGTAATCAGATTATTGCACCTATCGCGATTATACTCCATCCCAGTATTAACTGCTTAAAGGCACAGGTTCGGACTTCTTAATTCTTATTTAAGGTAATTTTATTTTAGGTACAATAGAAAATAAATAAAGAAATTGGTTACATATTACGTTGTATTGTTTACATTATTATTTGCAGTCAAAAATGCACGTTCGACTTTAAAAAATCATAATGCATTAGATATAATTCTGATTTAAGGCATAATTAATTCTAATTTAAAATCGTTAAAACCGTCTGTTCTGTAAACGTTCCACCAATGCGTTTTCAATGTCGAATCGAGGTTATATAAATTCAATTTAGCCGTCTCAAAGGGTGCGCAAATCACCACTTTAACCAAATGAAGGAAGTATATAGCCTTTGATGCCCATCGATGATCGCATCACACATCCAGTATGCATAAACTATCTCTAAAATGATATTACTGTACCTAATTTATTATTAGTACTTCATTAGCCAGGTTGGCTCCAAGAAAAGATTGATATCATTCGAAATTTCTTGTAAATTTAGATCAATCAATCAACTAGCGAAGCGACACAGATTATTTTTGTTATTAAATGTAAAAGAAATTTTAAACTTAAAGAGATGTGGACTTAAAACTCCACAGGCAAATTACCTGTCAGTTAATGTCACTTAAATACTTTTTTCAATTAAAAGCCACCTAATAGAATAATTAATATTATACATACATTGTGCAGAAATATAAGCGAACAATAAAGGTAGGAAATACCGCTCGCACTTAAGTTTCCTTTTCACAATCACACGCATTTGTCGACAACAATTACATTTAATGAAAGCAAATTATAATACATAGGGTTATTATTCCAAATTAACAACCTAACAATATTAAGCTTCATATGAATATGTCCGACTGGCGATTTGCCAATATTTCAATACAGTTTGTTATCGTTAACAAGGATATTTGTAGTACGCAAAACGTTATTTCAGGGTTATATATATATCAGATAATTTCTACAAGCGTTCATATAAAACGCGATGTTGGTATTATGCTGGTGACATAAATCTGATATCTAAGTAAATACCAGGGGTGGCTCAAGAGTAAGATCGTCACAGCCTAAGATCCTCACTATTACGGCGCTCGCTAATCTAGTATTTAAGGAAACTTTGGTGTAATAAAGATCGCTATAGTTCAACTTATTGAACTGTAAACATCAATCATCGTGTCTGAGTCACTGCTGCTGTTTATCAGTGACGAATTTGAGCATCGTTCCGTTATCCGTTATCGGAAGAAATGTTTAAACAATTATATATCGTATACGGGGAACCTGTACCAATTTCTTCCACGATAAAACGTCAGTGGCTAATATTTCAGCGAGGTCAGAGACTCGAAGACATTACTCGTTCAGGACTAAACGTCATATCAGGGACAAAAATTTCGTAATGGTAAAGAAATTCGTATGGGACTTTCGTATGTGTCGAGAAAAAAAAATTCAACAGTCATTTTGCAAAAATTGAAATTGAGCAGTATTCTCTCTTCTCTTTTCTTTGTGTCGAACACCTTTACGACTTTCAATCATACGCTAAGGTAAACTGTGATAGCCTCTCAGATCTCCAAATCTCAAGTGTCAATCTCAGGGTTAAAAGTGTTCTACGGCGTCTGTATATATTTTTTTTATCGGCAAACCTACAGCGTGCAGTCCCTAATCCCTTATAATCGATTATGGCGACTTGTGTTACTGTGACCTGAATGCATATTGACTCAATTTAATTTCACCGACTTCTGAATAACTGTATTCGATTCATTTTCAATCTTTGTAAGTCTGCCATGTGTCTATCGTTCTCAACTCAATCTCAATGGTTACTAATGCACCAACGCCGCTTATTAAGAGTAAGCCACTCTTTATTATTTTCTGGTTTTGTCATTTACTGTTTCTTACTTGTCTTCTCACTTTGAATGTCTTTGTGTTCGATGCATAGTCTTCTATTCCAGTGTCACAATTATCACAATTATGGTTTCATGTATTCATTATTCTTTTCTTTTATGGGGTGCGTAGCGTACGCCAGTATTTCACCTTATAGGGTATACTCCAGAAAATAATATCACCTCAATATCTACTGGCAGCCTAAACAAAGCATTTATAAAGACAGGATATAAGATAAAATTGTGGTTTAAATATAAATTTTTATTAATTCAATTTTTTCATTCATTAATTTTAATATGTGGAATATTAAAATTAATGAATGAAAAAATTTAATTACACTCAAGGAAACGCCACAGAAACGACTTGAATTAATTTTCATAAGAGTCAACGGACCTTTGACATTGTATTTTAGCTTCATCGTATTTACATTTAGATGTAACTGTGCGAACGCAAATACTGTCAGCAAATGCACTGTAAATAGAAGCTCTCGACATTAGAACGTATGTTTCCCTGTATTTCAATATGTTGTATGTAATACAGTAGGCTAATGCAAAGTCAACACGGGCGTCCATTTCTTCTTTAAAACCTTTTTCAGCTTGCGCTGAAAAAAATGAGAGATGAATAGTATTTACGCACGATTCTCGTTGCTATATATTATGCTTGCATCTATTAAATTCGACAATTGTTAGCTTGTACGCGTAAAATGCAGTCGTTCATAAGTCGATGTACATTGTTTTAATGTTATAAGACTTAGATACGATGGACCCACCGCCGGGGGTCCCGCCGGATAACACTACACCCACAGTTAGTGTAACAACAATCACACCAGTTCGCCCTCGTCTCCGAGCACGGCGAGACCCACACAACGCGTACACAAGGTACACCCGCGTTCCGGAGCGGTTCTCACCGCTCCCAGCCACCGATTAGCTAAATGCACAGTCGACGGCCATCGGGTCTCGGTCCGAACCGCGACCTAAACGGCCCTTAGATGACACACTATAGTTAAACGCACGCATGAGCACATGCGCGACCCTAGCCATAGCGGAGGGTCCAAACCCGTGGGTTCTGACTAGCCCACCGGTTCTGTGTCCGATGAAGCGTTAATAGTCTCGGGACTGAAAGCAAGAACATCAGTTAATACAAGATACAAGATTTAATGTTATAGTTCAAGATTCCAGAGCGATTAGACACAACTTATTTTAAAATATATGAAATCTTACGATCTGAGTAGTGATTCTTGCATGTACTTAGAACGCTTGCGCACTCACAGCTTTTTGCAAAATATTCACTAATAATTGTTTATCTTCCATGACATTCACTACTGCAAATAAATTTATTTCACTCAAAAATTGCACGTTGTAACCGATATAAACAGTTGTTCGCACAGACTATAAAACGCATTTATAAAGTTCTCTAACTCATACTAAGAGCAGACTAGTTTTCACGTCTGGCAAAAGCAAAGCGCAAATCAGGCTGGCGATACTGGATACAACTTTAAGTGACATTTAACAAAACATAATGTATAGAATCAGCCGTACAAATTTGAGTAAAATAGCTCTTATCACTCATCTTTCTCACCTGGTACCTGTACATTTATCACCGACTTAACTCTGTGAATGCGCAAGCGCTTTAGGTCCATGAAACAGTACCTACTCAGAACGAAGGTTTCATGTATTTAAAAAAAGAAGTTGTGTCTAATCGCTGTAGGATCTTACTCTATTAAGTTTAAACCATTTTTTCCCGTAATTTTTTTTTCCATAAATCTCTCTTATGTCAGAAATCTTTAAATCAGTTGCCTTTTAAATCAAGAATTGTCCTGTATTTAAGTTTGGTTCTTATGAGTTGCTACGACATCCCTAAATATAAGTTAGAAACGATGATATATTACCATCGTATACAATGGAAATTACTCCTCTATACAGTTGCAGTTTTCTTGCAATAAAAGCATTGCGAGTTATCGCAATTATGACGACTTCAGGAGCCAATTGCAAAAGATGGCGGGCTGTACTTCCAGTAACTGTCGATACTATTATTACTTTAGACTTTGTTTGTTTCGCAGCTAGTGCACAAGCGAGGCAACATGCTTCTGCGGCTTTTGCAGGCATTTTCACCTTAGAGGAAGGAGACATCTTTAAATCGGCGTCGATTCAAATGGGTGTTGGGGGTGATCCTTAGGAATAGTAAAATATGAAGAAGAATTATGTTGAAAACAATATAATGATGTATTTGTGCTAGGGTAGCATCAACCAGTATGTAAAACAGCTTTTACATGCACGAATAAGCAAGTTAAAGTATTTATAATTTTGCGTATCGTCATCGGTTAACTAGCTGAAGGTGCCCACAGTGGTTGGCAGTTCGCTTGTAACATCTCTAATGTTGCGAGAGTGCATGGGTGGCAGTCCTCACTTAAGATATTCATGGCATAACAAAATTGAAATAGTAAAAGATAAACATGTGGAAGTGATCAATGAAGAATCACTAACCAAGATAATGCCAAGATACTGAAGAAAGGTGGCAAAACGTACACTGATGTCTTAAGTTTGAATGTATGTTTTTGATTTTAATTGACAAATAAGTGACGAGAGAATTAAGTGCGAACCTCATCTAAAATTCTCCAAAAGTTTACTTCTCTATTGTGCGACTCCACCGATTTACAAATGGAATCCAAAACGTTCATTGCTGTTAACAAGTCTGAAGGATTATCTATTGCTCGTAAAAAGAGTCCAGTGCCTTCAATAGCGGCATTTGTAATATCGAAAAGTTCTCGATCAATTATAATCCCTTTCTGTAGACTTTCTTCTAGAATGTTCCCAGAAATAAAGAATGGTATACCCCGCTAAAATGAAAACGAACGATAGTCTCCAAAAAAGTAAAAATGCCAAACTAAGTTTAAAGTTGTTCACATTGCGCCGCTACCTGTCTGCATTTCGTACTTATTTGCATTTGTATTGCTCGCATTTGGTACTTATTAACAATTTCGTACGCCATAAACTCTCTGGCTAACACTATACCATCAGATTCCTGTAGAAAAATAAAATCATTAAATTTACTGAAAAATAATAGAAAGTTAATTTGCTTCGATCTACTGTAAGAACAACGGCTTAGTTTAAGGGAACCCATTTTCAGTGTGAAATGTTATGACAAGTCAAACCCTACCCAGTTACTCTTTCACACTTTCTATTTTATATCTTTCTATTATGGCAACGCATTTACTACCCTGCGGGTGTTGCAAATATCAATCGGCGGCGGTTATCACTTAAGATCAGGTGAATCGCCTGCTCACTAGGCACCTTCTCACATAAAAAAAACCCTTATCTCCACTTCTAAAGTGGCTTGGACCCACCACTATTGTGTGTACAAATCACCTTTTACATAAAATAGGCTCAGTAGACCTGAGATAGAAAGCTGTGAAGCGTGTTTTGAAAGATAAGTGGAACGGGAATGCTTGATTAAAGTCCCTGAATGCATTGTGGAAGCCGTACAATGAAGAAGAGATAAAACTACACAATTAACCTCGTCGTAACGTTATTTCTCAATAAGTAACCTACATCTTACTGGCTAGTGTTCAACGAATATTTCAATTGGTAGAGGAAATAGCTAAGCTAAAGCATTTTTATTTTTAAATACACACAATTTAATGGGATGTCAATTAATATTCATTCTACTTGCAATTATACTGTTTTGTAGCTTTCATCAAACCAAACACTATTGAAATTTTATCTCTGTACCTGTATGATTGCATCAATATTGTCCAACCCTTCTTGCTCACAAATTGTGCAGATTATTTGAGGAACTGGACAATTTGCAAAAAGCGCCTTAACTTTTCTCACTGTTTCGCTATAACGGACCGAGTTCATAATGATAATGTCGAGCTGAAAAATACACTTTGTTATTTCACATAGCATTCATCATTTTTCCTGTACTATTTTACAAAATAATCAGTATGCAAAGATGAAAAATATAAATACAGACTCATGGGCGTAATTGTACGTTTTTAATATTGTTGCAAATCAAATTCTTTCAGGCCTTCTTTTAGAAATTACGAAAACCGTAAATTGAGATCCTTCTTCTTATAATCTTAATTCTTTAGTGTGAAAGAAGAAGGAATATCCTGACGTGGTGCTCTCGCTTATGTTAAGCTGTGTTGATGCCATTGAATTATTGCTTTATTCGTGACGATCATAATATGTCAAAAAGAAAATGTTATAAATGTTTACTTTTACGGGTATATTAGTAGGGTAGTATACGTTAGTAGTATACGTTACAGTTGATGAATGATTATTATACTAGCTAAGCTACTGGCTTCGACACCGGGAGTTGTTGGTTCGATGCCCGCACAGGTCAAGTAATTTTTTAATGTTCAAGTGTGTTCTACAGACTATTCTGGATCTGGGTGTTTGTTCACAAGGAGGGTTGAAATCAGATAGGTGTCTTGTCATAAAAGAAAATGTAGCCAATACCATTAACAACATGATTCACAGATTGTGCCGACCCGCCCACATCCCAGGATGGGAAAAAGAAGATTAGATGAAATAACCTAATTACTTACTGAAAACTCTTTTGCAAATTCAATCATGGCTAAATCATATTTAGAAACTGCAGGCTTTACATGTTTAATTCCACGGATACAGACGAATTCTAAGTTCTTGATTGATCCCCCTTGTTTAATTTTGCATCTAATTGTTTGTTCATTTATTACTTCCACGCAAGTCATTATTACTTTACCCCAGCCTAAAGTTATTTCTTTACCAGGCTTAATTAACTTAAAAGTATATGGGTCATCCATGAACAATTTGTTTTTATTGCATTTGTTCCAGAATTTTGCATTGCATGTTATTTCAATCATATGGTTTTCTTCTAAGTTTATTGTAGATTGTTCCAATTCCTGGAATGTCAACATTATTTCTGTATGTTCTCAACTATAAGATTATCTTCTTATAACATTTCTTACTAAACTAATCAGAAATAACGATAATGTTTTCGACGACAAAAAACTGGTCCGCGTCATAAAATGGAGCTAAGTCCGTAACAATAAACAACAACCTAGTATGTTATTTATATTCTTAGGGAACGGAAAACTATTTTTTTTTTCTAATGACAGAGTAGTTATTTTCTACGGTTGTGTCTGCATCGCTTATTATATCAACAATTTATTTTATGAGTAGAGGAAAAAACATCAAAATGACCTTTTTACTTTTACAAGTCAACATTAAATAAAGATATCACAGTCCTTTTTTATATGGGCCAAGTGTTTAAGAAAAAATAGTTATTAGATATGTATCTAGTAGGTGGTTTTGGTTGAAATCTAGTGTGAACTTTAAATTAGCCTTAAGATGAACCGGAGGGAATTTCCGCTTATTACTTACTTCGCTTATGCACCCAGTTTTAATACACACGTTAGGCAGGTCAATGCAAATTGCAATAGGCCAATTTTTGACATCATACTTCTCACAAAATAATTTAACTGCTTGCTTGAATTTAGCCAGTAATGTAATTCTATCATTGCGAGACAATTTCGTCATTTTAAATCTTATAACTCGTAGCCCCATCTCAATGTAGTTTTCTATATCGATGGAAGTAAAGCTTGCATCTATATTAACAAAAGTTTCATTTTACATCATGTTTTATTAATATCAAAGTTACTATAGATAATTTAAATTTCATTTTAGATTATTTATAGTAACTGTCTTTTATAATCAATTTAGTTAAAAATAACGTTTATTAAATAACTTTACATAAGAATGGAGCCCATCTTCATCCAGGTTTTTGTATCTTTGAATACGCTTAATATGAAATCTAAAGTGGAATTGATAACCAATAACATGGCGTCAATGGTATTTAATTACCACGGAACAAAAATAGATTTGTATCACCGTAGTATTAGCAGATTTATTATGCATAATCTACAAAACATTTCTCATGTTAAATACCATGGAATATTCAGACTTGTAAGGTTATTTTTTGTAAGAACGATGGGTCAAACTGACCAAAGATAATTTGATCTTTATAAAACTAGCTCTAAGCTGAAGAACCTAGAAGCAGCCTAGATATAAGAACAATATGGTAGATGAGATCTTAGAGATGCACAGAAATAAAACAACAAAAATATTGTATTGCTGTTTGAAAGGTATTTTGTTTTTGTTTGAAATAATCGTACATACCAAAAGTGACAATGAACGGCGTAAGTCTATAACTTTTCGCTATATCTTCTTTAAATATTTTATTATTATGCAAACTTCTAACAAATTGCGGCTTTTTGTTTATCGAAGTCATTTGACGGTATAGGATGACTGTATTAAGATAAATGAAGATTAAAATTGAAAATTCTCAATCACAGTTTTTCCTTTCGATTGCTTATTTGACAAAGAGAATGTAATCACTACGTTTAAGAGACGGGACTTCAATACTAGCCAAAAATATCAGTTTACGCGGCACTCCAATACCAACCATACCACAAAAATACCACAAAGATGTCAAACAACAGGAGTACCAACGTAACGAGACAAATAGTGCTTAACCACGCTAGCTTAGCTTCTTATCGATATCGATAAAATATACTAGGTAGAAATCGAGGTTTCCACTTAATATTTTTTTTTATTAATTTTAGGTAAGTATCGAGTCCGTATTTATGTCCAATGTTGATGAGGGGCTATTTGGTACTAATACAAGATTGGACTTAAATGCGGACCCGAAATAAGATAAAAAACGGTTTCTGATAATTCAAATAAAATTTTATTACTGAAATGAAATTTATTTCTTGTCTCTTGATTCTTCAGTCAGCTGTTGTCCTGCTGTACATGAGTCTGAAAATAATTGAAACATAGAATCAAAAATAAAAATAAAGAAATGTTTTTTGAAATCCTGCAAAACTCACCTATTCCGATCCTTGCTCATTTATGTAGGCACACCATTCAAATATGTAAAACTTTGTGCCCCTACTCTTTCACGCAACATTTTATTTCTTATTTTTTTCAATGATAAACATTAACGTAGTTATCGATATCTGGATATTACAGTTGCAGTACATCACTAGCACACAATTTAAATGAGATAAATTTGTTAATTTTATTTGTTCTTAGCCTGCTCTACTTACATATGGCTGCAAAATATCATATTTAAGTGCTTACATTTTCATCTAAGGGAAATCTCGCCATAAACATCCTTTTTTCAAGATTCGAATGACTTGCCGTCTTTATATATAATAAACCGTCTTTTTGGCATTTTGAATTAAAAGTACAACTCTGATCACTTGTCACTAGTTTTCGTGAGAAACTTTATTCTAAACAATTTAATTTTACGCTGAAATAAGCATTTACATTCAAAATACGCGGTGCAAAATTAAGTTTTGACAAACAACATGGCACTTCTTGTATTGCAAGAAAGAGAAACCGCATTGAGGGAGAGTGATAGCAATGTCCGCCATTATTTGCCGCGTAAAGTCCATAGAAAAATTTTTTGTTCCTAGTTTCGCCAGACTGTTATTTGACTTCATAACAAAGAGTATTTACAAAAAAAAGTTTCAATATTTAACTTATTATTTTGGTAAGAAAAGTCGACGCCATCTCATAAAAGCTTCCGGAATTAATCTTTGACTGTTTACTTATCTTAATAATTGAGGTCTTTTGTTAAAAAAGGTTATATATTTAGATTATTTATATGTCTAGATAACGTGTCACGTTTCAAATCCTCGAAAATGAGTGGCCTTACTTTATTATTTTGGTATGCGTGAGGGTTGCAATTTACATTAGCAACTTTTTTAATTAGTTAAGCAAGCATTTAGAAGTTACTCTCTACTCCAGAATATCATTCGCCACACATATTGAAAACGTACGGGACAGAGCCGCAGTAACTTCGGGCATGCTAACTATACTAACTCCTCAAGTAAAATGCCAATAAGACACACACTTTTGTTAAACAAGGCATGCGTACGACTCATAATGTCCTAAGATTGTATATCCTTTGTTCACGTAAGCCCCACAAACCTGCATAAACTACAGGTAATTCAAAATAACTTTATCCGCTTGGCGGGGCTATGTAGTATTAGCGTAACACCGACCTGTATAACAGTTGCGATTGCTACGTGAACACCTTGAGAATTAGCCAAGCGGTTTATTAAAATGGCCGAAAACTATTCCAACTCTGTGGTAAACGCAACGAGTTACCAATAAGATATAAACACCATCGTTTAGAGATATCGCCCGTGAAATGTTCTCTTTCTCCCGGTCGGGGAAGGGCACTTACATGTACATACTTCGGACCCACCAGTCCAGAGAACTGACATATAACCAATTAATTCGTTTACTACTACGAACTGCGAAACCATCACAAGGCGTACAAGGTACACCCGTGTTCCACGGCGGCCCTTAATGCCCCCAACTATCAATTAATACAGTCAACGGCCATCGTGGTCTTGGGCCATACCGATCTTCAATGTCCCGTAGTGCCATAACTCCGGCTTAAGATATACGCATGTGCTGAAACACTGTTGGATGCTATACGGTGGGCGGTGGGCCGTATCAAGCTGGCTCGCCCACGAGTTCTGTGTTACATTCAGAGTGAAAATATCAATTCTTTAAAAAAAGAACAATTTTTTGGACAATTGATTAATACTTGTTGAACTCACATTAAAAGATTAATTAAATATGTATATAATTGTGACTTGAAAACAATGTTAAGATTTTATCACCATATTTGTGCAATTTCTTCCCCACGATAAGTACTATTTACCACGATCACTCCATACACATTTGTGACAACATGAAAATTATTAATGCCTATATAAGTATTGGAAATCTTTTGGCCATAGCATAAATAACAAAAAAATGTAAAGTATGAAAAAACTAAATAGGTTGAAAACTAAGTGGAGAGTGGCAACGAGAAATCTTTTTTAAAGAAATTACTTTCCGTTTTGAGACAGAGCGTTTTTAAAGTTAAGATTCTAAATAAATATCGGCGTCTTTAAAGCAATCCCCGGGCACCTTTTATTTACTTAACTAAAAGTAGTGTGATACCTTTCGGTTTCACGGCGCTTATAACTTCCAATAGACCCTCGAGAGTACCTATTGCTTACTTTTTAATACTACGATAAGGAAACGACTAGATGAGAAAGGTATTCAAAAAATTAGTTTGCTATAATGTGGTATATTTACGATTATTTACAATAATTTGAACTTGTCCATTTAAATAAAAAAAAAATAGTATAATACAATTAAAATTCTGTCTTGTTTGTGATTTAACTTTCCTAGTATAGTACATCTAAGTACATCTAAGTATATTAGATCTTAGAACTGTATTACTTTTGAAAACAAAGGAATCTTAGATAAACATAATATAATTTTTTGCACTTGCCAAACAGATATTTATATTCGGATTTCCCGTGAGAAGAGCAATGACAGTTCCAAAAAAAGTAATGTAGGCCGCATGAATTGTCATTTGTATCAATATTTGACTGAGAAAATGTTGCACGCAATAGACCTAATAACATATTGTTAGGTTTCAGGTAAACTGGCTTTTATATATAACAGTATGCTATTTTGTAAAATACATAGATGGATTTATACAAGGCATTATAATTTT